AAACCTTTTTTCTGAAAAGCCTCTGATTTTTTCAGTGTGATGGGACGAGCATCACAGCCCGGCTTCCTTCTGACCGGCCCGTGGGGTGCGGTGGCAGGGGTAGGTCCCACAGCCCATGGAAACCCTTCCGGTTGGTTTGGGGTTTTTTTCCCCCCGCATTTCCTCCTGTAATATCGTTTGTATTTCCCCAACCCGATTGACCCCGCGATGTGTTAACGTGCGATGGACAAAGCCTTATCAGATTCCTATGAGGGCCGTATCACTGCTAACAAAATTAATACCATATAAGGCACCGGTTTATTGGCCGGTATACAGGAAGGCCATTATCAATAGGCTTAGCGTTATAAATACAGACCTAAATAAAATGAAACGTGAGCCCCAATGCCGCCTTCCAAATACATTTCTCTACACAGGTCAGGTATAAAAATTACTCCGGGGAAGTCCGCTCTTGCGGTATGTTTATTTTGCGTTTGCCAAATTAAATAGAAATGGATTGCAAACCTAAAAGCCATACGGAACCGAGAGGCAACACTTGAAACCCTTCCAAAGCTGTTTTTAAAATGAGCAGCTCCCTTTTAAAAATTGGATTAAAGGGAGGGGGGCAGGCCTATAAAAGTGCGTTACGGTCCTCGTCCGCCGGAATAAACCGACTGGAAATGTATGGAGAAGAAACACGAGTTGGCTGCTTCTCCCTCTCCGCACGCTCATGCGGGGAAATCAGACAAAAGGCGCGGAGGCCAGGGACGGTTCGGAAGGTTTTGAGTTTTCCTCGGCCTCCACTCCCAGGTTGTGTGGCAGAGGGCTGGGGTTGCCCCCCGGGTCAGGGCGGTGGGGTCGCAGCGAGCGGAGCCGGTTTGATGGTCAAGGCACCGGCTCCGTCGAGATCATGAACTCAGCTCGGCGTTGCGTTATCTCCGCTTTCTTTAATCGCTAACAAGGCCAAGGCAAATAGTAACCGGCATCATCAAACCCAGTGAAGTAAAACTAATAATGTTCACTTGATTCGTAACTATAAAAGATAATGGTCAATTCTGACTAAACTGAGCTAATTTGGCATGCGCTGGGTGTAGCTACTGCATTTCCAGCCCTTAACAATGTGTCCCTTGGAGCTTAACCCCTATTTAAAAGAAATTTTAAAGAATATTGTGGACGCCAGGGGACGAGAAATACTTTCATTTTAATTCTACTTCTGTAAGTAAAGCTATCCGAGGGTCTATAAAACCGAGCAAATAAAATTCTGATAAATATCAAAACCAGCGAGAAGGTGCTTTCGCGGAGAATCTAAATTCATGGCGTGCACAGACAACACTATCAAAATAAAACTTTATTGATCTAAGAAAAATATAATAGATGCATTAATAGCGTCGTTAAGCCGTTTTATTGGTTGGACTAAAATTAAAAACAAAAAGGGAATAAATAAAAAGCGACAGCTCAGCCTAAGCAAACTCTGGCTGGAAATCTCAAAATGGATCGTGTTAAACCGTGATTTATCTTTTTATTATTGGCCCGTATAACCCAAAAGATCAGCACTGTTAATCCAGAGACGCATTTTGAGAGCTAATTAAAATATGCTTTTATTTGTAGACACGGGCATACTGCAATTTGTGAAAACGTAAATGGCCTTGCAAGGCTGTTGCAGCAGTCCGTGCGCCGCCTATGTGATAATAGAGCCGCGGATTACATTTTATACAGCTCCAAAATTAATGCAATCAGGGTATAGTTATTTAATATTGGAACTGTCAGTTGTCAGGAACGTGCGTGTGTGCCAGATTCCTTTTTTTTTTTTTTTTTTTTTTTTCCCCTCCCTGGATTTGCTCCAAAGAAAGCGGATTTCAAGCAGGAGGTTTAGGAACTGCGTCTGTGCCAAGTTAGGTGACAAATGACGGCCCCACTAATTTTATCTTTACTAAGAAATTCTTTCACGCTGGGGGGGTGTGGGGGGGTGTTGGCTTGTTTTGGCGGATTATCCTGTTAAAAATTAGGCTGAGATTTAATTTTATTCCAGCCATCCGGAGGCTTGTTCTCCTAACTATGTTTTGTAGTATCTATGTATCGTTTTACTCATTTGGATTAGGAACATATTTTTGCGAGCAGTTCTGACGAGCTCCGAATTCTAGTGTGCGGCAGGACAAAATACACCCAAACCAATTCATTAGGGCTTTATCTCCTCGCCATTCCGCCGGCTCTGGCGAGAACAACGGGGCTTTCTATTGTCCGGAGAGCCCCAAACACCCTGCAGAAGCAACAACGGTATCGGGTTATAGATGTGCCGGGAAAGTCCTACAGACTCAACTCCGTCTTTTAATCGGAGCCCTTCTATTGCGGGAGAAGGGCCGCACAGCTGTATTAAGCATTGGAAACCGTATCCCTTCTCCCCTTTTTGTAGCTGTCTTCCCTTTAAATAAGATCTGGATGCGTACAGAAATATCTTTTTTTGGTTGCGGTATAGCTTGGCTCTCAGACGCACACGTTGGCCCGAAGTTTCGATTTCAGAGCATTTATTGTGACAAAAAAAAAAAAAAAGACAACAAAACACAAACCCAAAGAGCTTATGAAAAAGCCTCCCAGGGGCTTGGATGTGGTATGCGAGCTGAAGTTGAGTACACGATTAATTAAACACAGTGTAGACACTGCGCTGGCTTCGCCTCTTCCCTCCGAAACATGCAAACCCAAATCGTGTGAAATAATAAACAGTTATTGTAAGAAACGAGCTTGTTTTTTTTAAATATTATCCTATGACCGCGGTCGTCAGTAAACAATCCGTAACCAGAGGGCGCTTCAGCTGCTGCTGGGGTCCCTGTGATTTATTCAGCCCAGTATTGAATGGGGCAGGGAAACAACAAGGGGAAAAATAAATATTTGATCAAATATGCTGAGTTTAACTTGACCGGTGGAAAATGAAATGTTGCAAAGGGACCCTCAAGGCTCCCTGCTCCTTCCTGAGCCGTGGCTTCCCGCGTCCTGGCGTGGCCGAGAGGAGGGTCAAGGGAGATCAGCGTCCCCCAGCTGCTAATAGAGCATCTTCGAT